AGAAGCACGTGATTTACCCACGAGATCCTGCAATTCAGACTCTACTGAAAATGTATGATTATGAAAACTTTTCATCCGTTGCGTTTTACCTTAGATTTACATTGGTATTAGAGCATGAATGGGTATTTTCGTGTTTTCTTTAATCATGTGTATATTTTTATGTGTATGTACACATTATATACATGAATATTTATAAAGGAGGAAAATGTCAACTCTCATTAAATTAAGAGCATAAAAAACCCTATTTTTATGTTCATTAATGTCATTTTTAATACCATAAATGATTTTACTTTGGAAAAAGGAGTCTGGCAGTACCAAAATTGGACCAAAAAACACCCTGGAAGGCGGCGCGTGGTCCGCACGCGCCACCCGACGCTGTGAGCGGCTTACACGCGCTGCGACGCGCGCACCGTCCGCGCGACGTGCGCTGAGCTGCGCCGTTTTCCTTGGCTAGCTTGGCTGCTGATGCATAAGGCACTGTTTGTTTTGTTTTTAATTCTGAATCGCGTTAAATGGTCATAAATAGTTCGTTATAGATTTGTTTTATGCGTAGTTAGTACTGTTAGACTCAGAATTAAATTTTTCATGTTCTGTAAAATTTTGAAATTTTTATGAAAATAAAAAGTATTTTTCCTGTGAGAATAATTCATTATTTATGCTTTAAAATGCTTCTAGTATTGCATGAATAATTTTCTGGGGTTGAAATTTTTATTGTACACTTCTGAAATGTTTTACTGTTTACTGGTATATTTTTTTCAATTTATCAAATTCTGGAATTTTTTATTTCTAATTTTTTGTGTGTTTATTAGTTATTTAGAATTCCAGAAAATTTCAAAAATTTCAGAATGTACTTTTTATTATGGCATAATCTGAATATTGAATACAGCATATTTTTTGGGTTTGTAATATGTTGCAATTAAAGAAGCATGATTAGCTTTTTATTTATTTATTTAAATTTCATTATTAAATGAATATAGCATGAGTTATTTGTATATTTACATTAAGATACTATTGTATGGAATTTATCATGTTTTGTATATGCCATAAGTAATGGGAGATTGATTGTTTTTTGCGCATGGAATTAAATTAAATTTTGATAATTATCACTAGAGGCGCAAGAGATAATTACAAGCATAGCAAATTTTCGATCTTGAGACGTGTAAAATTATCATTATTTAATTTAGATTCTTTTGCTACAAAATAATTTTTTGTGTTGCTATCATTAATATCCCCTGCGCATTTGTTTACTCTGTATGTAGAAATGGTTGCTAAGACAGTGGTGGCAGACTTAACTAAGGGAGAGAAATTAGATGGCGACAATTATGATATATGGCGTCGTAAGATCCAATACATCCTCAATGAGCAAGAAGTATTGACCACACTTGAACAAGTGATGGTTGAGCCAGAGCAGGGCAATACAGCTCAACATCGTCGTGATCTTGAAGTCTTTCAGACTTGGCGTAACAAAGATCGGTGTGCGCGTTTTACTATGTTGAGTAGCATACACAACGACTAGATGGAAGTGTATCTTCATTCGCTATAGTGAGCATTCTAAGGGCTATGTGTTTGTTGGGGAGCATCCAGATGGAAGTGTGACTGAAATTGAGTCACGAGATGTGGATTTCCTAGAGGAGGATTTCCCTAGCAAATGTGAGGTAACTAGAGAAGTAGAACTCTATGAGATGGAGGATCTACTTGAAGGTGCACCTAGTAGCCTAGTAGAGAATGAGGAGATAATCCCTCAAGCTCCTAGGGACAGTGAGAGCGATCTACAAACTCACTAGTGGTACCATTTGTACTCCTTTTGTTCAGTCTGGTGAACAACTTGCTGACATTCTCACCAAGGGAATTGGGAATAAACCGTTTCATGACATATTAGGCAAGCTGGGCATGAGAGATATCTTCGCACCAGCTTGAGGGGGAGTGTTGGCATATTATAATCACCGAAAGTCTTAGTATTTTATTAGCCGAAAGGCTTGGGTCTGTAATCATTGTGATGCCCTCAGGGATCATCTTGTAATTGTCTTGTTTGTAAACCCTAATCTTCATGTATAAATAAGGGGTGATATCTCATCATACCCTAAGCTGATTATTCAAAGCTTCAAAGACTGCATTTCTCAATGGAGAATTGGATGAAGAGATCTATATGGATCAACCAGAAGGCTTTGTGGCAGTAGGTCAGGAGCGCAAAGTTTGCAAGCTTCAACGATCTATTTATGGCTTAAAATAATCATCCAGACAGTGGAATCTGAGATTTCATCAAGCCATTGTTTCTAATGGGTTTACGATGATTGATGAAGATCACTGTGTGTACGTTAAGCGGTCCAAGGACATTTTTCTGATATTGTCATTATATGTAGATGACATATTATTGGCTGGAAATGACAAGGAGATGATTGTCACCACTAAAATGTAGTTGTTCTCTACATTTGAGATGAAGGACATGGGTGAGGCGAGCTATGTGCTCGGTGTTAAGATCCTTAGGGATCGCTCTAAGAGACTTCTTGGTTTGTCTCAAGAGACTTGCATTAAGACTATCCTAGAGCGATTCCAGATGCAGAGCTGCAAACCCATTGACACTCCTATTGCAAAAGGCGAGAGCCTAAGCCTTGATATGGGTCCCAAGACTCAAGAAGAGAATGAAAAGATGGCCTGTGTTCCTTATGCAAATGCTGTTGGAAGCTTGATGTATGCTATGATGTGTATGCATCCTAACATTTGTTATGTAGTCGGATTGGTGAGTTGTTACCAATCCAACCCAGGACCAGCTCATTGGAAAACAGTTAAGAGGCTATTACGATATCTTAGAGGGACTGCAGATTACACACTTTGCTACCAAAGTTCAAATCTACATCTAGTTGGCTATTGTGATGCTGACTGAAGAGGAGACTTAGATAAGCGTAAGTCTAATTCAGGATATGCTTTCATGCTTAGCGATGGTGCTATTTCTTGGAGCAGTAAGAAGCAATCCTGTATCGCCTTATCAACTATGGAGGCTGAGTTTGTGGCTTGTTCATCTGCCGTTCAAGAAGCCGTTTGGTTGAGGAGATTCCTTCAGCATTTGGATGTTGTCACACACACTTCAAACCCTGTGACTATCCATTGTGACAGCATAACTGCACTCGCTTACGCTAAGGATCCTAAATACCACGGCAGAACCAAACACATTGATGTGAGGTTCAACTTTATCAGAGACATTTTGGCGCAGAAAGAAGTGATCCTGGAGCACATCCCTATGAGTCGCATGGTTGCGGACCCTTTGACTACGCCCATTAGGTAAGAGTAGAGAGAGAGACTCTCAACAATGAATTCCATCTTCAACTGTAGCAAAAGACATACCCCAAACAAGATATGAAACAAAGGAAAGTTTCTCAACTCATGCACCAAATTGACTACTTTCTCAACCATAAATCAATAACTGAATGAGTATTCTGTTGAACTCAATTTTTTTTTTTTTGATATTTATGCCATTAGTATTCATATTTGTTTCTATTACACATTTATGTTTACTACTTTTTGCAATGATTTGTGAATTAGCATACACAAAATAATTAAATTGATGTTAACAGGCAAGATTGGCTCACTCACACGAGCAATCGCACTTAGCGCTAGGTAGCGAGTAAGGATGAGACTAGTGGCTTATTGTATTTGGAGCAAATAGAGAAGCTAAAATTATCCACTAGCTATGTCGCTTTGGTTGGAGCCAAGATGAGGTCTTGTTAGAGACCGACCATGGATATGAAAGTACCCACTTTTCCATGATGTGCCTGTTACGGATAGCTAGATGCGAGATCTCATTTGATTCCTGAGAGGCGAGCAAATAGAGAATTCGAGTTAGACGCTAAGAAGCGACTTGTGCGCTTAAGAGCGACTAGACTAAGATCTGTATGGTGTGTGAGTTTAACATCACTCTTTGGAAGAGTAACTCCACTATAACATGCATTCATACTGCATGTGCTTATCGACCCGTTAGCGAGGTGAAAGAATGGATCCCTGCTTCTTCACCGTGTGAGTCCTAAAAGTCATTTTTTCCTAAATGACTTTACTTTGTGCCTTTTGTGAAGCTACTTTGGTATGTTGCCTGTGGTCATGTATGATTCGGCTTTAAGGGACATTACTGGGAAAGCGGTCAATTTTAAATTGAATGATATGAGGGTGAAGGGAAGATCATCTAGTTCTACATCTCTGCTCTATATTCACTGTCGACAACTCACATCGCTCTTTATAGGATGCTGATTGGGTGTGAATATAATGCGGGACCTAGGAGAGTCAAACATGCTCTTTGAGGGATTAGAGATGTTTTTGGATTGATGTAGCTAGATGGGTTTGGGTACATGAGACACTATTTCTGTTCATTTTGGGTTGATGTCTCTATGCTGACTCATATTGAGTTTCTAGTATAGAGCTCCCACATGTAGGTGTTCTCAGCGGTCGCACGGTGTATTGGCTAGTATGAGATTGTTCATTTTTTGAGAGATTGAGATAGAGATGTGGTAATGTCATGCCAACTCATGTGAGAGTGGGAGATGTTAGAAATTGGGCGCCCATGTGGCATGACCCTTTGAACCTTTTGAACCTTATCCATGTAAGTTTGAATTTGAATTCAAAACTTACTTGGATAACCACTCAAGATATCCATATCTATCATGTCAACTGATATGGATAGATGAGATATTATCCTATATATCTGATATGATATGGGATATGGGTGATTAAGAGAAAAACAACATATGTTTTTTTATGTTTTTTCCCATATACTGTCTCTCTCCCAAAAACAACGATCAAGCCATTTTGCACTGTGATTTGTGTGGGTGATATTCATTTTGTAATATCACTCCACTGCTGGGTTAGTTGTTCACTTCCTGGAAGCACGTGATTTACTCACGAGATCCTACAATTCAGACTCTGCTAAAAAGGTATGATTATGAAAACATTTCATCCGCTACGTTTTACCTTAGATTTACAACTCAACATAACAAGTGGAAGTAGTTTAAACATACTTATTAATGACTAGTGTACAAGCCATCCCATCCTTCCTTTTCCCCTTGCAAACTCCATAATCTAAAGAAGTGCCAATCTTTAAAATTTGACCAGCAGAATAAACACTCAAGGAAAACCCCGGCCCCTGCAAAAAAAAAAATGGACAAGGTTAATGATCCGAAAAATCTTCATAAAGCTAATCTCATCAGTATATGAAAAGTTGATACCAAATTGTCCTTGCGAACGGCACAATTGAGCAGGGCAAAGACAGTTCCAGCCACCTCTATCGAATACTTCTGGTAAGCATCGCCGAACAAGAAAACAGAAATAGTCTTTTCATCTAGACACCCAAGTTTCCATATACAATAGTTCTTCCCTGTTGTACTAACTTTTGGGTTCCCTTTTTCAACTAAAACTCCAACAGTTGCCCAACAACCAGACAGAGTATCCCCATTTAGCACATTCCTGAAAACCCAGTAGAGTATGTTATCAAATCAAAAGCCACATAAAAATTGCATCAGTAATTTTACAAGAATGTTGAAGCTGTGTTCGTACTTTATTGCTGGTAACCGAACAAATCGAATGTCAGAAAAGTGATTGCTCAGTTCTACATGAGAGATTAGTTGATTCCTGCACAAGAAAATGTATTCAAAATAACCATCTATTCTATTGTTACATCAAGCACACAACTCACTAGATTGAAGCTTTGTCATGCAATTTTGATTCCAAAAATAACCCCAACAACATTAGATTCTCCCAAATATTTACCTTGCATAATTCAGGGGAAAAAATCATAATTTTCTCCTTTTAATTCTTAGAACAGCTATTCATAAACAGCTCAATATTTCCACACATATGGCTTATACTAAAATCAAATAAAAATCTGTCACCTCAAACTAAAACCCAAGATTGCTGGTGACTGATTTTAGGGCTGGGTTCAATTGGGTTTGATCGAAACATACCGAATTCGCAAACCCGAAAACTTTTCAACCTCAGGATCATTGGCCTTCTTCAACTGGCTTGATTTGACAGATTTCTTGGCATTTTCAGGCTCATAATCGAGGCAATCTTCGACAGCATTGCGAAATACAGACATGTCGACCTGTCCCACACGCTTAGGCAATCCATCGTCCGAAAGGTACCCTACAAATCAAGGTAAATCAAAGCAATCCACATAAATGGGGGGGGGGGGGGGGGGTTGGTTTACAGAGAGAGAGAGAGAGAGAGAGAGAGTTACCTGGTGATTGGGGGTGGAGAGCTGAGGGAGAAGCAGGAGGGGTCTCCAAAACCCTATCTTGAAGAGAGAGAAGGAGATCGAGATCGTCTTGGTGGTTTGTCATGGTAGAGAGCTTTTTGGTGAAAGTGATGAACCAGAGTCGATAGAGGTCTGCCTGTGTTTTGAGATTTTTTGGAGGGAGATTTGAATTTTTGGAGTCCTTTGGGCCGTTACATTGGCCGGGAATAAAAAAAAAAAATGCCCTAGCAATTTTGGGTCCAGCTTGAGAAGATTGGACTTGGGCCCTTGTGAGTATATTATTAAAGCGCTGTTTGGGAATGAGGTTTTTTGGTTTTTTTTTTGTTTTTTTTCACTAAAAGATAAATTGGTTACAAAATCAAAAAAAGATAAATTCAAACAAAATATCACATCAAACCCCATAATTATTTCACTTTTTCTCTTACAAACATCACATCCAACTATAAAAAAACCCAATTATCTTCTCAAACACAAAAATAAAAAATTTCCAATAATATCTTACAACTAAAAAAACCTATAAAAATAACTCACTTTCCAAACACCCACTAAGCCTGCTTTGATTGTTGGATTTGGGATCCTTTATGTTTTAAAGTTTAATGTGTGAATTACTAATTAAAAAAAATAGATTAATATGATAATGATAGTAGATAAAAATTATAAATCAATAGGCATATGTTTATGACATAATTTCTTTTGTTGACCAATGTCTATATTGTAGATAAAAACTTTGGTTGTATTTGGTAGAGTTTTGTAAATATGATTTGAGAGTATAAGTTATATTTTGAGTTTATGAGTTGTGGAATTATAATTTGAGTGTAGAGAATTTGTTTGGTTATGATTTTTGAATAGAGTGTTGAATTAAGTTTTGAAAATTTGACGCGACATGTGAAATAAGAAAATTTGTTTGGTGATGAGTTTTCAAAATTTAATTCAACCTATAATTGATAATCAAACGCATAACTCATAATTCGATATCCGTATTTTTTTATCAACAGTCATAACTAAACTATTTTTAAAATACTCAAATAAAAAAATGATTTTTTTTTCAATTAATTGTTTTTAAGTAATTTTTTTGAATAATTTTTTTTTCAAATAACTTCTATGTCAATTATTTTTTGTCAATTAATTTTTCCGTCAATTCATTTTTTAGGCCTGTATAAACATTAAAAATATTAGAATTATTTTAAAATTATTTGGAAAATTAAAATATTAAAATATTTAGAAAATTAAAATATTAAAAATATTTCGAAAATCAAATTTACAATTAAAATATCAAAATATTAAAATATTTTTATGAAAATTAAAATATTAAAAATATTCCTATAAAACAAAATAAAATATTTAAAATTGAGTTTTGAAAAGAGTTTTGAGTTATGTGTTTGGTTATGAGTTTTGAAAAGTAATGATTATAGTTTGAAATGAGTTTTGAGAAATGGGTGTAGAATTATGATTTGCAAGCTGCAACTAAATACTACACTCAAATCAGTGATGGAACTATGTTTTGAAATTTAAACCAAACAGAGCCTTTAATTTTACTTTAATACTTTTTAGGCCAAGTTTGGCATGTCTTGAAAAAGACAAAAAGTCACTATTCTATTTAAATCACATCATCTTATTTAAATCACATCACCTCTCTAACACATCACTTCAAACCCAACCCAAACCCAACCCATATTTCATAAAAAGTCAAAAAGTGCACTTATTTAGATCATCCCAAACAATAGTTAAACTGTTTAGACTGCGCGAACATTTTCAGAGAGTTAAGTATATTTATAGTTCATGTAAATGGTAATTTTGGAATATAGCTTAAAATTTATAATTTTTTTCTTTGTTTACATATATTTAAGATAATTGGTTTTTTAAAATCTAATTACAAAATATTTTTTTCAAATTTAAATTATTTTAAATTTATTTTTAAAATTGAAGTTACTTTTTGACCCAAAAAAATTAAAAAACGACATGGTTGTAATCGTGTTTTCAAAATAGAACTTCAATCTAAAGTCAAGTTATTAGAATATGATTTCACAAAATTACACAAGTTTTAAACGGTAAGTTCAAAATTATTTAAATTTAAGAAACTTATTTTAAAATGACATGCATAAAATAAAAGGAAACTTTCAATTATGCATAAGCTCTGAAAAATAATTACAAATAAGTGATACACGTTACAAATATTAATAATTAAAATCATAAATTTTTCTATGAATCTCTAATATATTTCTCAAATGGTAATTTTTCCAAGAAAAATAAATAAATAAAATAAAAAATAAACTCATTTCATTTCACTAACACACCATTTATGTGGTTGATCTCATACTTGACTATTACCGCCAGTTTCGAAATCTCGTTGGTAGTTGCTAGGTCAAAAATCAGTTACAACCACTCCACATTGGAACGCTACTCATTCTCTACCCATTCCATTATTAGATAGTAGATATATATATATATACAAACAAAGAGAGAGAGTGAGCAAAAGAAGAGAGATGTGTAAGAAGAAACCACAATTGCACCGAGATTTCCTCTGAGTTCTAGTATTTACATTGCCTTTCTTTGTAACACTGCATTGCTTAATCAATTCATAGCAATGTTACACTCCCACACACACACTTCTTCAATCCAGAATCACCATTGATAGACCTCCAACTAGTATAGAAATGGCGGCATTGAGTCAAGTATGCATGTTAACACTCATTCTCTTGCTTGTTAAATTTTATCTTGTCCATGGAAAGGAGGCAAGATCCGTGACCTACGATGGACGGTCTTTGATCATCCAAGGTTCCAGGGAGCTCCTTTTCTCGGGTTCTATTCATTATCCTCGTAGTCCTCCTGAGGTGATTTCGATCAATTATTAGAAGCAATGTTGATTATTATTTATTCCTCCAATGGAGATGTAATTAGGACTAATGATTTTGTTGAATTGTGTTTAGTTGTGGCCACAAATTATAAACAAGGCTAAGGAGGGAGGTTTGAATGTCATCTCGACTTATGTTTTCTGGAACCTTCACGAGCCTATTCAAGGCCAGGTAAATACTCCCCTACACTGATTTTTCCACACACATTAAAAAAAAAAAAAAAAAAAAAAAATGAAGGCTAGGAAACAACTACATAGCAAGTCCCCATAGTGAGGCCAGCCTGACATGTCACGATAGAGTTTTTTAGATATTTTTGGGATAGATTTCGAGGTTGGTAGAAGAATTGGCACATAAAATAGGAATGCTTATTATGAAAATCAACTTCAAAAATTTCCGTTGTGATTTTGTAGGATTGATATGAATCGGTGAAATTCATCAAACTGATTTCATAGAAAATGACCTAGAAACCACCGAGTGAGTTCCCCCAAAAAAAAATAATGAGGCCAGTCTGGCGTGTAATGGCACAGTATTTTGGGGATAAATTTTAGAGCTTTGAACCATTATGATGAAAAGTGTGTCGAATTTACACAATGATTAGAAGGATTAATGTGAATGCCATTTACATATGCAGTTCAATTTTGAGGGGAACAATGACGTGGTGAAATTCATCAAATTGATTGACGAGCTAGGCTTATATGCAATTCTTAGAATTGGCCCTTACATCGAAGCCGAGTGGAATCATGGGTAGAGTGAAATTTCCTATTTTCTTCATTTTCCTTGGAATTGTATTTTCCTTTCTTTCATGTAATATTGTAATTGAATGTCGACTTGAGCAGTGGATTTCCATACTGGTTAAGGGAAGTCCCAAATATTACATTCCGTACTGATAACGAACCATTCAAGGTGATCATTTTTCGACCCTTCCTAACATGACATAACAAAATGTAACATGAACCAACTAAGTACTTACATTATACAATTTGCAGCACCACATGAAAAAATATGCCACGATGATCATAGAAATGATGAAAAAGGAGAAATTGTTTGCTACTCAAGGAGGACCCATCATTTTGTCACAGGTTTGGTCCGGTCCACTATAATGAAACTCGTATCAATATTATACTTTCATGTGTCTAGGTTAATTACTGTTTGTTTTAACTTTTTTTAATTTTGATATTACAGATTGAAAATGAGTACAACAATATTCAGTTAGCATATAGGGAGTCCGGTTTGCGATACATTCAGTGGGCAGCAAATATGGCTGTAAGTCTACAGACAGGAGTCCCATGGATCATGTGCAAACAGAAGGATGCCCCTGATCCAGTGGTGAGTATTTTTTCAAACTTTTTCAAAACCTTTTTGGAATATTTTAGAGCATAAACATTTTTTTTCTTTTACATATCGAAAAACACTTGGCTTTGCGCAGATCAATACATGCAATGGGAGGCACTGTGGAGATACTTTCAGTGGCCCAAATGGGGCCAATAAGCCTTATCTCTGGACTGAGAATTGGACTGCCCAGTAAGTATATACATATGATATGGTACTCAATGGCATGTATTATGACTGTTGACATTGTATAATCTGTTATAAATTCTTGACAATAGGTATAGAGTATTTGGAGATCCACCGTCTCAAAGAGCAGCAGAAGATATTGCATTTTCAGTTGCTCGCTTCTTCTCAAAAGATGGAACTCTCACGAATTATTATATGGTATACATGACTGTCCAATCTTCTCCAAGTTTTCTATGAAAATAACAGTCACTTACTCGGCCAACAAGCTTACTCCTTTGTAATTGCAGTACTACGGTGGGACAAATTTTGGCAGAACAAGTTCATCTTTTGTGACAACTCGTTACTACGATGAAGCTCCTCTTGATGAATTTGGTTGGCAATTTTCAACTCTATTGATTTCATTTTAAGTTAATTCAAACATCTAATTAGGCTTGTTTCCACTTATATTTTTTTAAGGTCTACCGAGGGAACCTAAATTCAGTCACCTTAGGGACTTGCATAGGGCTTTGAGATTGTCCAAGAAGCCTTTGCTTTGGGGAGTTACTAATGTCCAAAAGATTAGTGTGGATCTAGAGGTAAGCATTTCTACCTCTGCTAAGCATATTTCAATGTAGCGAAATTTCTCAGAAATAATAACAATGGAATTAACACACGCACGCACACACAGAGATGAGATGGTTATTGACTGGCTATGGTGTTTTGGTATACAGATTCGAACATATGAGAAGCCTGGAACTGATATTTGTGCAGCGTTTTTGAACAACAACCATTCCAAGATACCAGGAACTATTAAATTCAGGGGTAAGGACTATTACCTTCCCCCGAAATCCATTAGCATCCTTCCTGATTGCAAGACAGTGGTTTTCAACACTCAAACGGTAACTTTCAATCTCCTAAAGTTTCCTAAATGTCAGCTAGAATATTCTTATAATGGATGCGGAAAAAATTTATTATCGTTGGTTCAAATTTTTTCAAACAGATTGTTTCGCAACATAATGCAAGGAATTTCCATCCATCAAAGAATGCACAAAATCTTAAATGGGAAATGTCACAAGAAAGTATTCCAAACATACACCAATTACCACTAAAAAGCAAGTCTCCATTGGAGCTCTATAGCTTGACTAAAGATACCTCAGACTATGCTTGGTACAGCACCAGGTAATCCTATCTTACTCAACTTTCACAATTTTCTTTCTAAACTTTCCACAAATCTGACATGTTTTTTGAATTCATCTTGCAGCATACGTTTTGATCGCCGTGACTTACCAATGCGTTCTGATATTAACCCAGTCCTACAAATAGCAAACCTTGGCCACTCAATGGTTGCATTTGTAAATGGTGAATATATAGGTAATTACATGAACACAGGCAACCAAATGTTTGTTTTGTAGCTCAGATTAATTGTGCTCGACTTATTTCTATCAAAAATATGTTTCATTTCATATAATTTGTAGGATTTGGACATGGAAGCAACATAGAGAAGAGCTTTGTCTTCACAAAGTCCGTAGTTTTGAAGCCAGGATTTAATCACATATCACTATTGGGCGCTACAGTGGGATTCCCGGTAAAGAACATGTAATTTAGTTGTGTATTTCTGCGCTTCTATCATTCTAAAAAGAAAGGCTGAGACGGTTTCTTTGTCAATGAAGAATAGCGGAGCCAACATGGAGAAGAGGTTTGCTGGGGTTCGTGCTGTAACAATCCAAGGTTTGAATGCTGGAACCCTCGATGTGACCAACAACTACTGGGGGCATGAGGTACGTAAATGTGAAATTTCTCTATCAAATTTCTCACACGTGCACGCATGCACACACACACACATGGCTGCCAATGGGGACTAGAGCTTGTGCGCCTTGTGCAGGTCGGTATAAAGGGAGAAAAGCTCCAGGTATACACAGAGGAAGGATTGAGTAAGGTAAAATGGAGTCAGGCAAAAGAATCAGGAATAGGACCACCTGTGACATGGTACAAGGTAATTATACAAAACAACTATGGTGATAGTTCTAGGAACAAAATTTTCAAGAATTTAAAGAAATCTCAACAAATTTTTCGTACTGCAGACGTACTTTGATGCTCCTGAAGGCAACAATCCTGTTGCTCTGCGGCTAAGCAGCATGGGCAAAGGAATGGCTTGGGTCAATGGCAAAAGCATTGGTCGTTACTGGACGAATTACCTCTCACCTCTTGGACAACCAGCTCAATCAGAGTAAGTAGAATATGAATATGTCTCCGTGAAAAGTGCAGTACAGGTTTTGATTTCAATTTGAATGCACTTGTTTTCTCTTTACCTGCAGGTACCACGTTCCAAGAGCCTTCTTGAAGCCGGGAAAGAACCTCCTAGTTCTATTTGAGGAATCTGGGGGGAAACCAGAAGGAGTTGAGGTCATACTTGTGAACAGAGATACAATATGCAGCTTCATAACCGAGTATCATCCGCCCAATGTTGCGTCATGGGTAAAGAATGGAGACAAGATGCAACTTACAGTTGATGAGTTGAGTTCGGGAGCTCAGTTAACCTGTCCTGACGGCAAAATGATCAAGGTAGTAGATTTTGCGAGCTTTGGTGACCCAGATGGCGCATGTGGGAGCTTTTTTGAGGGAAAATGCACTTCTCCTAATAGCAAGGAAGTTGTTGAGAAAGTAAAATCACACTCCCTACATTATTTTCCATAACTAAATACTACATTTACGTGAATATATATTGCTGATTCCTCACTCTTGTATTCATATATTTCTATTGGGCTTTTTGCAGTATTGCTTAGGAAAGAATAGCTGTTTCATTCCAATAAAAAGAGAACTTTTCGACGACAAGAGCGAGGCTAAGTGCCCCAACATCCCAAAGACACTGGCTGTTCAAGTAAGGTGCGGTCGCAACAAATCAGATTAGAGAACTTAAGATGTAGTAGTTGGTTAATAGTGTTGTTGTGTGCTTCAGAGATTCAAGTTTTGTTTTTATTATTTTCTTCGGATTTCATGGTAATGCCATTGGCATTATGATGATTGATTTAGTCCTTGGAGTGGTGCTGCTACTTTTTTCATTTTCTCTTCTTCACAAACAAAAATGGGAAAATAAAGATCTAAACTTTTCATTTCCTGTAGAAATTTTGGAAAGTGATCAAACTGTTTGATAAATTGCTTTTAGTAACTGATGGAGTTGTCATTTGTCTAATACTCAAGGTGGTAAGTAAAATGAGCAGTTTTTCCAGTAGTAATTGAAATGAATGTTTTGATCTACATATGTTCTTATGATTTGTTTGATTAAACCTGGTTGTTGCATGGTCAAGTCCCTTAAAATTGCCGACGAAAAACATGCATGATGGAATTGACGTGGGGTATACCTTTTGTTAGTGTTATTAGTGTACAAAAAAGCTGTAAAGTAAAGTATAGCTAATTGTCATTTATATTATATAATATGTAATATTTTCTGCTTTTGGTGCCTAACTTAGCATCCTATGCTGTCATCTCCTCTCTATAAAGGGAGTATTCATCTTCTTGTAAAAACACACAGAAATATAGAGTTATTCATTTGCTCTCTCTTCTCTCTTTCTCAAACTATTGTTACATGGTATCAGAGGTTAAGGACCTAGTCATTCTGCTTCACCGGCGGGCGGCAGTCTCGCCTTGGCCGCCCGCCGGACCTCTACACATACCTTGACTCCGCTGCTGCTAAACCCAATTCAACATTCACTTTCAAGATAAGAACATCATCGCCATCGTCCATCTTGGTCACCTCCGAAACTCCACAAAAAATTCCACATCCAGGAATATCATTCTTCTCTCTCTAGACTGGGGAGAGGCTAACAGCAACGTAGAGCCCAGCCATCTACGTATCATTGCTGAACTGAGGAACAATCCTCTCTCCACATACACAACAATCAACTCTCTATCTGCAACTCTCTCTTCGGTCTCTGCAACACCCAACAGATCATATCTTCATCTCTCTCCCTCTTGGATAGATCACGCAGATACACATGCATGAACACACAAGCTCTCTCTCAGGAGGGTAATAATCAACACACATGGGCTCTCTCTTTAGCTCAAAGACCACACCCACGGCTCTCTCTCTCAGAGGAATAATACACAGATGGACATGCATGCACTGAGGTAGGCTTGCATCTGGTTTTCACCAACCTCTCTCTCTCTCTCCTCAACTCTAATCCTGCACCCACTCCCTGCGTATCCTGCGCACCTCCCCGCTTGAAAGCCACAACAATGGGCAACCCAGGAACAATGATCATAGCCCCACTTGCTCTTTCTTTTTTTCTTTTTTATTGCCCGCCGAACCTCACTCATCCATGCTCTCTCTTTTTTGTTACTCTCCCGGGCCCCATCCCCTCCAGATAGTTGTGTTGTGCTTCTTTTTATTTTATTATTAAAAAAAAAAAAAAAGCTCAGTTGGTGAGTCCCTTTTCACTCACATGTTTCCCACTCTCTCCTCTTTGATTTCAAGTACATTATTATTATTTACTTATTTATTTTTCTTTATTTATTTACTTTTTTTCCCCCAAAAAAAAAAAAAAAAACACAAAACAAAACACAAATTCAACACCACCTGATTGATTTTTTTGCTCCAACAATCTTGTACCATTCTTGCCATCCAGCTTGCACACCATGGTGAGCTTGATTACACACCATGCGAATCACCCAAGTTGGTGAGCATGGTTATACACCATGGGAACCACCTAAGCCACCCTATGGCGCACTCCCTAAGTCGCCCCCTTGGTGCACAACCGGTTAGCTTCTACAACGGTCCGGCATGACCTCATAAACTGTCCCGACATTGATTCCGATTAGCTTCTACATCGGTCCGACATGACCTCGTAAACTGTCTCGACATTGATTCCGGTTAGCTTCTGCAACGGTCCGGCATGACCCCGTAAACTGTCCCGACATTGATTCCGGTTAGCTTTTACATCGGTCCGGCATGACCCCATAAATTGTCCCGACATTGATTCCGGTTAGCTTCTACATTGGTCCGGCATGACCTCGTAAGCTGTCCCGACATTGATTCCGGTTAGCTGCTACAACGGTCCGACACAACCATACAGTGTCTTCACCAACGGTCTGACACAACCATACAGTGTCTCCTATCCTATTGTATTAGTTTATTTTCCAGTTTTGTTACTCTTTCCAAACTCAAGTTGGTTTGTGTCTATCCTCCTTGAGTTTGAGGGGGGCTGTTAGTGTTATTAGTGTACAGAAAAGCTGTAAAGTAAAGCATAGCTAGTTGTCATTTATATTATATAATATGTAATGTTTCGTGCTTTCGGTGCCTAACTTAGCATCCTATGCTGTCATCTCCTCTCTATAAAGGGAGTGTTCATCTTCTTGTAAAAACACACAGAAATATAGAGTTAATCATTTGCTCTCTCTTCTCTCTTTCTCAAACTATTGTTACACGTTTTATTCTTTGTCGTGTGGTAGAAATTTGCCAAACACTCAGTGGGAGTGTTAGGTGGGGATTATACAAATAAATTATAATTTATTTTAATGTGAAAGTTTATATAAGATTGTTTGGTATAATTTTTGTTTATAGTTTATTAGGAAAAAATAACTTAAATAAATTGAAAAAATTGAGAAAGAAATATTTTTATCTTTTACTTTTTAATTATTAATTTTTAACTTAAAATAATTTTCACCAAACACGCCAGTATCTTTGAGCATAAAGTGACATCTTGTTCTTGTGTCTCAGTTTTACCACATGATAAACAATAAATGGAAAGCGTACAACACAACATCTCAGTCACGTGATCTATTCATTAAATTAGAGTGATCCAATAATTATAACATGTTTAATTTATTCTGTTTGTCATTAAAAAAATGTATAATTTATTTTTAAAAACATAATTGTCGTATATTTTTTTGGTAAAAATGCGATAAATTAAGCGAGTTATGGTTATTAGATCAATCTAACTTTTGATGTGAATGAAATACATAAAGTACTTAACAAAATATATAGTCCAAATTATCTAAACAGGGCCAAACAATACCCTCTGTACGGGGAGCAAATATTTCAGCAAGCCCGTACTCCTTTCTTCCAAGCTCCGTTTCTGTCCGATTACCTGAAAACACAATGAGGGTGAGCTACCCGGCGGTGTGTGGCCGGAAAACCCCTCCGACGATCTAATTAGCACACACCTTAGGGAGAGGAGAGAGAGAGTGTTTGAGTGTAGGAGTCCCTTACCAAGTGTTCGTCCCCCTCGTATGGGGGGCGCAAACATGCTTATATACCCTTCTGCGTCCCAAACCTGCTCCCAATGGTCCCTCGACACGTGGCTCTGCTATCCCATCTGTCAGCACAAATCCTGCTAAGCGTCACCTAATCTCAACTACCCGCTCACTCTATTGGGAGCTCGGCAGCCGAGCTGCACCATCTTGTCCGCCAACAGTCGTGCTGTGCTTCATATCCAAGCACTCCACTAGCTAAGCTTAATAAGGACCGGGCTAGGCAACATCTCGACAAAGTCGAGCAAACAGGTACCTCGGCTGACCACGCATTTCCGGGCGCCGGTCACTTAACTTGACTGGCTTCGCCTCCGTCAAACATGTAGCTCGGTCCAACCAAGCGTTGCCTTAACCGAGCAACTTCTTTCCAAACTGGGCCACACATCCTCGGCCCAACACTTGTCCGACCCAAATCTGTCCGACCCAGTACCAGATCATTAATCTCCCTCTCACCCTCTAATCCTGATTTTAAGCTGGAGGAGGTTTGCCTCCATATAATAATATTACAAAATAATTCAAACTAATCAAATTATGCAACAATACTTAAGTACATTAATATATTATTTCTTTAATAAAATTAAAGACAACAAGGTTGTAATTTTCAATCAATCAAATAGAGAAAAAAAGATAAAATGATTCTCCTTGAGAAAAAGACATAAATAAAAAATCTTTGTAAGGAATCAAGAATGCCACGCTTTAAAATAAATCCATTTTCTTTTTTCTAACTTTTTTTTTATATATAAACTATATTTATATATAAAATTTGTATTAAAAAAAATCACAAAAATGATGTTATAAATAAAAAAACATCTACAAGAATGTTTTGTTTTAAAATAAAAGGTCCATATTAAATTATATCATTTTATGCAGAAATTATGTGTGAATTTTGTTTTATAACCTTATTAAAAAAAAAAAGAAGGGAAAATTTACTTATAAATCTCATTTTGAGAAATGGTAATCCATTCTCAAGGATATTTTTTGTAGACATATTGATTTTCGAAAAGTAGATTTAATTTATTATTTAAAAATTAAATTTACGGTTATAACCTTATTTCTATTATTTTTATTTTTTTTATTTTTTTTTCTTATGCTAAAAATGTAAGTTACACAATATATGAGAATCAAATTTGGGATGAATTTTTATATGATAATCTTTTTTATTTGAAAAACATTTCAAAAAGAATACAAAAATGACTTGAAATATGAGATTCTTCAAACATTCCAAAATAATATGAGATTCTTCAAATATTTTAAAAAGAGTACAAAAATTTCTTAGTAAGTTTTAAACAAATGTATAATCTCAAACTGTAACACTCTAATGTAACATTCAAATGTAACACTCCAATGTAGCACTCAAAAAAAAAAAAAAAAAAATTCTCAGTGTAATTTTCCCAAACACCACACTTCCAAAAAAATTGTTTAGTGTAACACTCTAATGTAACATACAAAAAAAACATTCTTAATGTATTTTTCCTAAGCATAACACTCAAATATAACACTCTAAAATTTTTTCTTAGTGTAACATTATAATGTAACACACAAAAAAACTCCTTAATGTAACACTCTAATATAACGCACAAAAAAAACTATTTAGTGTACTTTTTCAAAGCATAACACTCCAAAAAAATTTCTTAGTATAATACTCTAATGTAACACAAAAAAAAAAAACTCTTTAATATACTTTTTTCAAATGTAACACTCCAAAAAAAAGATGTGAGATTCTTTAAACCATTCCAAAAATATATGGGATTCTTTAAATCATAACAAAAATTCTTTAGTAAGTTTTGAATAAATGTATAATTTTAAACTGAGTGTTACGTTTAAAAAAAGTACACTAAGAAATTTTTAATGTTTTTGTTTGTTACATTAGAATATATTACATTAGAGTGTTACGTTTGAAATTGCATTGATTAAAATGTTACATTGATTAAAGTGTGTTACATTGAAATGTTATATTTATATAACATTAAAGTGTTACATATACGAAAAATACACTAAAGAATTTTTTTTTAGTGTTACGTTTGAGAAAAGCACAATAAGAATTTTTTTAGTGTGTCACATTGAAATATTACATTATTAGAGTGTTACATTAGAATGTTACGTTTTTATTAATAATGTAAGATTTGTTCCAGGAAGAGAGAAAATCTAAAACTTCTGTAGTGCGAATTGACCAAATGTGTAATTTTATATTTGTAAAAACCCACTTTTATTCTTATAAAATTAAACCAAAACATTTAAGTGACTATCATTTTGTATAATTTCCACTTTAATGAAACCTTTAAGTTCATAAGAAAAAAAAAGAAGAAGACTAATCATTCATAAAATCACATTTTCGAATTTATTGGTGTTTCATCCTAAAAAAAATAATACCATTATATTTTATTATATCAATAAGGCTGTACCATATTTTTACATGATATATGACATACACAATTGTTATAATGTTATCCATATAAATCTTACTCATATTTATATTCATATTCAACCATTAATAGTTATGTGTGCTAAACAAAAACATAGTACAAAAAAATGATAAACATAAAATTAATTATTTTTTTTAAGCTTTTTCTTTTTTTTGGTTGATAAATCTATTTTTTTGAACAATTTTAATGGTGCCAATTTATAAAACCTCTCAAAAAGTTCATACAATATACTACATAATAATTCTATAAAAAAATTTCAAAGTTTATTGAACCCACCACTTCATGCATAGCTCCGCCCATGTGTAAATTTATACGGTCAATGTAAGTTGAAATAAGATAAGAATCACAAATTTCTATTTATTTACAAAGCACTTGCAGCAGAGGAAAAAAAAAAAAAAAAAAAAACCTCCATGATTCCAATCTTTCGATAAGCGTCTACATCATTCGTCCTGAACAAGAGTGACAATTCACCTATATTTAGGACACTAAAACGAACAGATCATCCAAAGAAATTGATGAAGTAAACGAATGAAGAATTTACATGACATAATGCTGAAAATATCTATAAAAAAGAAAAAGAATGGAAAGCATATAATAGGGATTACGAGAGAACGCAAGTAACCCCACATGATCTAGTGATTACAGCATGTATAAAAGCTAACCTCAAATATGTCGCCACTTAAAGCAAGAGCACCAAAAAGAAGCCGTTATTTTCAGCATGAACAGAAGCTACTTCCAAAACCAAAATTAGCCCATTTAAGAAAAGAACCCGAAAGTCTTTCAATATGATACACACAAATTAATTGGTTAGTTTTGAAAACTCAAGACAAATCAAATGATCCCTGCCCTTCACTTATTGCATAGAGTAGTTTCTTGAACATAATATCCTGTTTAGAAAAGAGAAGTTGTCATGTCATCACATAAAAAGGCTTAACGATACACAGAAAACAACTTCCTAAGCATATGAAGAAACTCAATAGTGAAATTTGTTTCCCAAATATTGTACCTTGGTAGAGTAGGGAGGAAGCTTGAGATAATTAGCACAGGTCATTACACTCGGCAAGTCATCATCTGCAGCTTCTGATAACCCAGTCCCATTGGATATTGTATTACCAGCTGTTGAAGAATGCTGTATCCAAACATTCAAATATGAACACTATGTACAATGAAAGCAAAACAGAATCTGACTAGGCCTAGATGGTAATTGTCTAGTTCCATACCTTTCTCACAATTGTCAATTTCGGGTTCAACACTGCCAGACCACCAGGAGGAAGTCGAGGTGCACCGGTAACAAACTGACAGAAAGCCCGTTGCTGCTCTGGAGTGAATTCTCCCATAATTTCAAGCAACTAAAAACATAACGACAATAAGCCATATTAGCATGCAAACCAGATGGAATTATATCAAAGACAATGTCTTGAATCTAGATTAAGAATGGGGAAAATGTACATTAACAATTGCAGGACTTTTGGCAGTGTATCCGTGGTCAAATTTTATGTGATCCACAAGTGTATCAGCCTGCAGAAAGAGAAATATAACATTAACCATGCAAATGCAAAATAAATAAAAAAGACAGGCCTAGACCATACAATAGAAAAATTACCTCCCACAGCTCTCTACGGCCACAAAGCAGATAGTCCAATTCATGTGGAGAAAATATTTGTAGAGTTGAGATGTCGAAGACCTTATAATTACAGAACAGAAATATAAGTTTTGACACTCAAAAAAATGACAATATATAGGAACAAGAAAGTTTGTATCAAACTTTCAAACTGTGTGCACACTTTGCAGGGGGATGGGAACATTTGGTAGATATTAAAAAAATAAAAAAAATAAAAACTCAAAAAAGAATCATTACATAAGAGACAGCTTTAAAAAATTTCGAAATTTGATGAAGTCCAGAGGAAGTTACTAACTTGATTAAACCCAGCTTTAAATGCTTCAATTTGCCTCATAATTCCAGTCTTGACAGTAGCATCAACCACTAAGGATAAGTACTCCTCCAATTTATCGATATCCACCTGAAAAGTTAAAAAAATAAGAATTTAATTAAGAAATATCATCATGAACCAAAAAGCAAGGCCTGTGCGAAAAAAAAATATAACGATATATTCGAGGGGAATGTGAAGTACATTCTCTTCGCCCAGTTTCAGGACATAATCTGGATAACCAGGGAGGGTGAAATCCAAACAGAGATCTTCAATTGAAGCCCCACGAAAACGTAAATCATCGATTTCTTCACAAAAACTGTGACCACCCATCGATTCAAGATATTGTTTCCGGAAAACAAGGGCTTGCAGTTCTTGCAAAGTCTTCCCAAGTTCAGCATCAAAAGAAAGAATGTCATACAAATCAAGCTCCTGCAATGAAATAGAGAAGGCTGAATGTGAGGATCAAATATACAATACAACATTTTACAATAGATAATGGTGCACCATTTCAATCTGAAGAAAAACAAGTGCAGTGATACCTGACCAAGCACCAGCTTATAAAATGCTGTTGACATTGGCAGGTCCAAAAGCCGCCCATCTTGAAGAGCTTTGGCGATCACACGCCCAACCAGCCGGAAATATTCAACCACTTTCGAAAATTGGCTACCACCACAAGTATCAGCATTAGGGGGCCAAGGACGAGGGAACAATCCAAGAGGAGCTTGAACAAGATCATTATCACCAGCTGATCCAGGCAGAATGGCATTACTGATTTTCCCATTTTTTTGTTCATCTCCATCTACTTCCATTGAAGGTTTGCCTGATGAAGAATTTGATCTCCACATTCCAAGTCTCTCTTTTTGTAAATCATGACTTAGAAGTGTGTAGAACTCCAAAGTAGGACCCAATCCAGTGCCAACTTCACCGAAATATTCTACTTCGAGAACAGCCTTTTGGCTTGAATACATCTCCATAACTTTTGTAGCAGAATCCAGAATGCGATTACGAGAGACACGCACTTTCTGGCGCTGCAACCTCCCAACCCTAACCTCTCTTTCACTGGTTGATCCTTGACCATCCGCACCCTGCTGCTGCTGAAGCCGATATAAAGCCCGTGACAACCCAAAAGCAGTAGAATAGAAGTACTGACGTCGAGTCTCAAAAGGAAACAAGAATGGGCATGCTTTTGTCAACTGGTAACACCAGGACGGAAGACTTCCACTACAAAGTGCAAGCGCATCCTGGATTTGTCGAGCCAATTTTGGGGTGAGCTTACTATTAATAAATTCCTCAGGAGGAACCCTGACACCAGTAGCACTAAGCTCGTCTAGACTTGAAATCTTCCCTTTGGCAAAACTGCCAGTCACCGCCTGGACTCTCAATCGGGGCGCAAGCTGATTCAAACCCTCTAATACACGCAGCAGCGCTAATATATTATAAGTAGAATTGTTTTTTTCCAGAGAACAAGGAAGCTCCCCCTGCAAAATACTATCGAGAAGTGATGATCTTTGTGATGAAGAATCGGTGTTGGAATTCGATGTGGACCCCACTTTGGTAGATTTAGATGTAGTTGTTGTAGAATTCAAATTCAATCCTCCTACCGAACCCCTATCAGTCTGGCTGTCTGCCCTTTGGTATGTTATAGTATAAACATCACTCCACAACCTACTTCCATCGCTAGATACAAAATCAGTGCTGGTAGACCTCTCCTCATCATCCTCATCTAGCACAAGCTGCCGTTGGATAGCCTGATAGATGGTCAAGTGCCTGTTAAGCTGCTTACCACCTGCAGAAAAAAGAAGCCTGGGAGGTTCATTAGAACCAAATATAGGGCGCCCATGTCGATCTCTGCCTCCCCTGATGCCTCTACCATTGGCAGATGCAAGCCCAGCCATGGCAGCAGCAGCAAATGACATTGCGCCCCTTGAACCAAAAGAGTTCGCTGTCCTAAACTCGGTAGAATCTGAGCCCCTAACTGTAGTGGCCCTGCTACTAGATCCAGAAGCTGGGTTAGTCTGGCTATCACTTGTTGCAGGTGCAACAAGACTATCATCAGCTGGATCACCCAATTTAACATCATGTACTCTATCGGGCATGCAAATGGGAAGAGAATCATCTCCCAGTACCTGAAAATTGACAGCCAAGAAATTGTTGAGGGCAAAGCTAGATTGAGGTTTCCAGTGGAACTAGCAGAGTCTACAATTCATCTCAGAAAGTATTCATCTGCCAGAACAAAATGGCTCAATGAGTGATTCTAGAAGTTGCATTGATCACTATTGCCAATGTGAACCAAGCAATTTCCAGTAAGCCTTGCAAATATAAACCAAGCAATTCCCACCTCCATTTCTCTCTCCGCTGATGAAGAAACCCAACCATCAACACTACAGATTTAGTGTCTTTACTTTAAGAGATCTCTTCCATTTAGGATGCAAAAGTGCTACCCAATTTAACAACCATTTAGTTAGTATTTCATGTTACTATTGTCATCAAAGGCTGGAAAAATACTCTCAAAATGGTAACCAAACAAACCAAATAGTTAGTTAATTCATCCAACATCGATTACAGTCTATAAAGAAGGGATGAAAGATAAAAATGAAAATAATATCAGTAACATACATCATCGTGGTCATCGTCTTCATCTTCATCCGAGATATCATCATCTTCAATCACCAATGCATCATCAATCTCAACAGGAGATATGTCAATCTCCTCATCCTACAAATCACATCATGGTAAGTTAATAAGAACAGGAACAGTGTGCCAACCACACCTACACAAGCCCTCTTAAACCTCTGCTGAAGCTTGCAAGACCCAATCAAACACCAACAAATACAAAATGACCCCAAAAAATGAAACAAAGTAAATAGAGTGCCAGCCAATTGTCAACAGACGACACACTATTGTCACTTGCTCCATAGACCTACTACCATCCATACTATGCATCTTAATAAATTGCAGCATCAACTAGGCCAATCACCACAATGGGAGGAGAAACCTTGTAAACAATGGTTCAAAGGAGTTAACCAACACACTGAGAACAGAAGTTAGAAACTACGGTACTACACATTGTGCATAAGTTCTGTTTTTAATCTCACTTCTTTCTGTTGATATCTGAATCTTGTGAATGTAATAACTATGCACAAATGAATAACCTGCATCTTCAACCCACTAAAGCTATCAGGAGTTAAATTCATGGTGCATCCATCATCCAGACACATTTTGACAAAACTAACCTACTATGGTTCAATTGAATCAACATTTCTCACCATGCTGAAACTATGCCTAATGGATTTCCATATTGAAGAGCATTTACAAATTACAACATACCTCAGAACTTGAGTCTCCAGTTACGGGCTTCATTTGTGCATCTTTATCCAAAACTGCTCTTCTGCGGGTAGCATTTCTTGTTTGAGGTCCCCTTGGCTCCTCTGGAGCAGGCTTCAAAACAGCCTTACCCTTCCCTTTTGATGAGCTAGCATTTTTCTCCAGTGACAACTCCTTGTCTGTGTCTCCAATATTAACAGATGATCTGGATCTAGTAGATTGGCGACGAGTGGTGGAAGCAGGAATAGAAGTAGACGGTGACGGAATTCCAGCTCCAGTAGGTGTGGTCCCAGACTCAGAGTTCCCTGCAGATGCTAAGGGCTTCTGCCCAGACTCACTTCTTTGGACTCGGAGCCAAAGGAAGTCTTCTACAGCTGCTAAACTTGCTAATGGATCAATTAATACAACATTAGAAGAATAATCACGGAGTGATTTTTCGCCTTGGGCTCTACATAGACGCAACTTAAATGGTTGGGACAATGCACTCAGACCGTAAGACAGACGTGCATTTCCACTAGATGGCCGAGAAGTATGGCTCAACACAACGGGAAAGCGCTCTAAGGAGGACAAAGCATTTTGAAGCTTTTGAACTAAGATACTCATAGGAGCCACACTTCCTTCATCAATACTGCAAGGGAGAGCCACTGCAATGAATGCCTTGTATCTTTTGATTGCTTGTTGGCGAAGCTTGGGAAGGTTAGCTTCTGAAATTCTCTCTTTGGAGAAGTATCCACAAGAAAAATAGTTCAGTAAAGCAGCCACAACTCCACTCCCAGTGAACTCAAAAGTGGACACACCATCCCCCTTGCTTAGTTCTCCAAGCATCTCAGATATCACACCAACCAAGTTCTCCTCTTTACTAGCAGAAATATCAGCAAAGCGAGATCCAGAAGCTTTAGACTTCCCCTTTGATTTAGCCTTTTGATCATCAACACCAGAATTCAACTTCATGCAGAGATTCTTTAAAAGTAGAAGATCATCTGTAACTCCAACTTCAGTGGCCCCAGGATCTGAAGGGAAGTATTTATCTTTGAAAAGTTTGGCACATGCACTGACTGCCATACGAAGACTTGAGTTACCAGTTGGAATTTCTACTGAGCTTGGAGGTGAACCAATAATTGGAACTGGATTTTTTGAATCTTCAGCAGAGGGTAAATCTGCATTCAAGTTACCACTGCGTCGCCTATACCGTCTACGTGAGGATGTTCCGGATATAGAATCATTATCCTTCTCACTGGAAGACGGTTGGGACGGAGCAGTAGTAGAAGGCCCAGCTAATATAAGTGCATCTACAGCATGAACAACACCTTCCCTCACAAACATCTTAGAGAAAGTCTCAGGAAGTTTTTCCATTAGAATCTCTGCTATTTGAAGGGCCGGAACCAAGACTTGTGGATCTTTCCATGCTAAAACCCCAGCTAAAAAACTACCCAAAAAACACTCAATCAGCATCTAAAGACTAAGCACTGTAATCCATACAAACTTACATACATACATATTATGCAGGCAATTTATAAAAATGCAGCACCTTGATATGTTTGTGACACTTATTAGAGTCTGGATCATATCTGCACTGCTGAAGTACATCAATTTTCCAATAACCGAGAGACATTTGTGCCGCACAGGACCATTTACACTTGATCCGTATATCTGCTTGACAAAAAATGCCATATTGTTTACTAAAATCAGTCAGTAGGACTAGAGACTAACCAAATTCTCAGAAAAACTAACCTGAATTACAACTGGAAGAAGGTCCATTCCAAATTGCTGCAGAAGTTCTGGCTGATCATTCAATAACTTCTCACGAGCTGAAATCTCAGTTACATTTCCATTTGTATCTTCTTGTTTTCCAGAACTGCTAGCAGGTGACTTCTTTGAAAGTGATCCTTTAACAAATAGATTAGTGCTGGCTGGAAGAGATATGGTCCCTTGAGGCAGTGGGGGAAGAAGCTCGTTTGCAAGGTTCACAATCTCAAAAATCTAAGCAGCAGAATGAAAATGAGAAGAATTCAAATTTCCTTGTAGGTAGTAACTAGGTTCAAAATCTCATATTTTATGGTCAGTGTAAAATAAAATGCAAAGTGACACCAAACCAAAACAAGCCTTGTCAATCAAGTGCAGTCTGCTAGATGAATCCTTTTTCATCATTCTAATTTGTATATGTCCATAAAATGCAAAGTGACACTAAAAAAAGTTAGAATTATAATCACAAAAGAAAATAAAATATAGTTTTTGATAAACAAAGGAAATAATACATAGTTTACAAGGAAAAATAAAATAGGATCACAATGGCAAACAACTAGCAACATATTCTGAAAAAACACATGACAATACTTATAGCACCATGCACAACTAACTACCTCTCCTTTCTTTCACTACCTAACATTTGGTAGAGGATTAAAAAGATCGCAAAAAACAAACCAATGAAAAATTAAACTACCAACTTAATGAAATTCAAATAAAAATAACTAAGACTTTAAAAATATACAAAAGTTGCATCCATCAAGGAAAAAACATTTTTTTTTTAAAAAAAAGGTGTGTTGCCAAGTACAATAAAATTATTTGAAATGAACAACACAAACCTGCTACTTAAAAGAGGACCAGTGATCCAGGTAGAATATATTCTCAATTATACAACAATGGAAAAACATTTAAAACACCAAATATATGTGCTGCAGATCAAATTACAGACAGTTGCATCTACTGGGTAAAACTACTGTATTTGAGAGAACCCAGTTTCAGAAAGAATTTATGCAGCAAGTACCTGTTCTGGTGGTCTACTTAAGGCAGCCGAAACAGATATGCTAGCAACAAGGCCAGAACCTGATAATATATCCTTAAGAATACCACTGATGCCAAGGAGTAGCAAAGTTTTGGCTCCTAGAGGGGACCCATTTGCACATGTCGAAAGCAGTCGGATTAATCCCTGCATGCCTTTTAGTCACAATTGGAGTCTCCAAATACAAACGGAATTTTAACTTGAAAGATGAAAGTAATAATTGAATATACCGTGTATGTAGGTGTGCTAAGAGATGCTTGACCACCTCCAGAATTGCTTGTGGAAATGAGTGAGGCAGCTTGAGTAACCAGTCCATGATTACATAATTCATCTAGCTTATCGGGAGATGATGCAAATGCCTCAGCAATTCGAGTCAAACAGACAGACGCATGCTCTAGTACCTACAACCGCAAAGAAGGCACAAAAAAGAAGAGAAGAAACAGCATCAAGAATGAGATATGCCAACTCATGCCTTTGATTGCGAACCTACAAAAAGATGACCTCACTTTTGCATCATGATACTGAAGAAGGTTTGTCAACAAAGGAACAGCTTCCATCACAAAGTCAGCTGCATCTGAAGGAAGTTTTTTGCACATATTTGCCGCGGTAGACAATGCTACTCGCTGGAACATAGCATTACAAGAAGAGATCAATCAGCAAGGCTTCAAAATAGATAAGACAGCTCTTGTCACATAATTAGCTGGAAAGTTAAAAGACTGAGCCAAGGAACAACCTGGACTCCTGTGGAGAAGAAGTCAAGATATGAAAGCACTGCCATGAGAGCACCTGCTCTCAAACAAGCAGTTGGGTGTTCCTGAGAAATCTTCTTTAGAGCTTGAAGTGACTGTTGCAATTAGGGGGAAACAAAAAAAGAAGTCATTTTTGCCAATTTTTACAAAAATATTACATGAATTGTAGTGGTGACATGGGAAGTGTATCAAAAAAATTGCAATGCTATCACTACTACAGGTGAACCATCGAAACTTCCCTATATGCTCAAATTCAATTCCCATTTCATTCTTTCGACTTATTTAGCTCACCTGCTCTGCCAAGTCCATGTACTCAATTGTCAGCAGTCGAGCAACAAAGCACGAAACTGCGCCATAATGCACAACCGCAACACATGACGAGGGAAGCACATCACACAAATGAGTCAGTGCCCTGGCAGCAAGAAGCATGATATCAGGATTGTTCTCGTGGTTAAGCAGCCCAACGAGCACTGGCGCAAACGAATCAACTGAAAAAGTACTAAGTGACTCCTCAGTCCCAATAGATAACATCTCACAAAGCTGCGTTAAAGCCTCAATTTGTTTCCCTTCCTCCCCATCTGCCCTCAACCCAGCTAAAATCTTCTTGAGCCGCCCGCTCTGATGGGACGACGATGCCGACCCCATTGCCGGGGATGGAAGCAAATCATCCAACCCTGCCCCCAATTTCCGAAGAAGCCCTTGAAGTGCACTGCTCGCAGAAGTCAAATTCTGATGAAGAATCCCAACACCACCACCATCTTCGCTGTCATTATCATCATCATCTCCACCACCACCACCACCATCAATGTTCAACCCTAAGCTCCTCTCAGCATCCCTATCTCTATCCCTACACCCTAATTTCGTCGTTCTTCTCTCTTCTCCGCTTTATCCGCAATTATCCCTTCATCCGAACCCCGGATTCTTTCCTCGTCTACTACCAGACCCAGATGATTCATTGGTCAAATTCATTGGAGTAGAAGAGTCTTGTGACCGAGTCACTCGGGACCGAGTCGAGATCGATGAAACGGCGTTTGCGGCGGCGGAGAGACGAGTTCGCTTGCTGGAACGGGTGGTGGGACCAGAAGATGAAGAAGAAGGGGCTGATGAGGTGGCCTCCGCCCTCTTCCGGCTCCGAGTTTCCATACAAAACCTCAAAACCGCGAACCGGCTCGCCGGTGAACGGCGATCAAACGGTTTCCGATCTGCAATTCGTTGTCATCGTCTTCGAATTCAATCAAGAAAAATCGAAACTTTAACGAACAGGATTCACAATCCCCCAAATCACAAACCCTAGAATCTTCACCACAACACAAATTAACCTGTAATTTAATACGTTTTCTTTTTTTCTTTTTCTTTTTTTTCTTGAAATTGTTGAATTGTCACCGATCGATTCGATTCGATTAGGTTAATTGGTGTTTATAGAGGTGGATAAAAATGTAGAAAGAGAGAAAGGAATAAACTGGTAGAAGAGGAAGAGGCAAAGAGTTTATATATAAAACCCTAGAAGCAGAGCATAGAGAGATGCTTGGCCGGTGTGTCTTTTTCAATTTATTTATTTATTTATATAAGTAATGATGATATATTAAATATATATATATATCTATATAATAAGGTTTTTGTAAATGTATAAAATGTATGTGAGATACATTTTGATCCAATAGTTGAGATTAATCCCAAGTTGATATCAATGGTTGAGATCAATCCTCTCAAATAAAACAAACACTTAGTTCCCGTCCAAACATTGTTCTCTCTCTCCCACGTCTCTGAAAGGCCGCCCACATACCCCTCTCTCTCTCCTCATCCTTGATTTTAAACCTTCTCCATCTCTCTGTCCAGCTCTCTGGTTTCAGTTCTGGATAGTTTTGGTTGTGCAACCTCCAGCAAATGAGTTTCTATTTCACTCTTCAAATGGGTTATTGAAGATTTTGTGGATACCCATTTGGGTGGTAATGAAGATTTTTGTGGTTATTGAATTGTCTGGAACTGATAGAACAGAAAAAAATGACTTGAGGCAACAGAGGAGTTGACATTCGCCAAGAAAGTTTGAGAAGAAGATTGGGAAGGCGAAACCAAGAAAGTTTCAACATGTTTCAATCATGGGTAATGAGTGCATTGATGTAAGAAGAAAGGAAGATGATGAGTTCTCTGTCAAACACGTCAGGAGATCTTTCTCAATGGATTCGGCAAGTGATCCAAACGTTTACTTGGCAGTTCAAGAGATTATACGACAGAATCGGTGTTGCAATGAGGTTAGACAGAGTGAAGAGTCTAGCAACAGAGTCCGAAGACAGTTCTTTCCCTTCGGACATGGACGGGGATCTAGAAGTGTAGTTCTTCCTATTGAGTTTTAGCAGTAAATCACAAAATTAATGTTCATCTGTTAAATTTCTTTCTGTATTGATCATCTTTAATTTTGTGATTGAGATAGTGAAACTCTTACAAGGGTTCGTCATGAAAAAGATTAGACGAGTGGTGGTAGATTTTGGGATGATATTTACACATAGAAGAGTTATCTATTGCTGTAATGTGATAATTGCCTAAACCATGAATGGATAGAACTCTAATTATTCTGTTTTGAAAATGATGTTTTTACCCATTCTGATTTTATCTAGAATGCCCTAGGGAGAAAAAATGATATTACACATGATGGAAGCACCAGCATAGTGCACCCATTACATACAACTTTCTGCTTTTATTTAGAATGTCTCGGAGAGAGAAGAAAATATTATATGTAACAGGTGCACTTACGCTGTGTTTGGTCGACTCCTCTGTTGTCCTTTGGTTTCTCTCTCTGTAAATCAAGCAGGTTTTGTTGTGGGCTTTGGGGCAAAATCTGTAGAGGAGTCCTTCTTTCATCTCTCTGCTCCTCCTCTATTCTATTTATTATATACATAGATAATTCATGTATTTGTTTGTATTGTTTAAAAAACAGAGGAGGAGCAGATAGATGAAAAGGTGATTGAGAGGGCTTATAAAAAGCTTGCTCTTTATGCTTTGGTGATTATAGCGATCCCGGTTATCCCTTTACTGTTCTGTTATGTTCCGGACTCGGTTCCGTGAAGTTGGTAGTGGTATCTATCTTGTTGTGTCCTTTAATTCCACACCATTGAGTTTTAGGATGTTTCGAGCAGGGTTGTTACAGGTTGGTTAGGCCTTGGTTTCAATTCCTTGTTGTTCGGTTTTTAGGCGGTCCGCTCGAGCGGGTCTTCTTGCGCTCGAGCGGGGATTGCACACCTCCAGTATTTCGGGTTTCTGCAAAACTTCTGCAGATGTGATTTTTGCGCTCGAGCGGGTGTGTTTACGCTCGAGCGGTGGCGCTCGAGAGGGTTTGTTGGCGCTCGAGCGGGTAGTACTTTCTGGGTGTAAGTTCTGGGAGGTGAAAATCTGCGCTCGAGCGGACTGGTTTTCACGCTCGAGCGGAAGTGCTTTATTCTTGTGTCTTGGCGCTCGAGCGGGCATTATTGCGCTCGAGCGTATCCAGATTTTTGTTCTTGGCGCTCGAGCGTTGTGTTCTCCGCTCGAGCGGGTCATACGTATATGAGCTATTCGCTGGGTGTTTTCAAATCACTTTTTGCTTTTCTTTCTCTCTCCTACTTTTTCTAAAAACCATTTTTGAGAGCCTCTCTCTCTAGATACTCCCTTCTCTCTAGGGTTTGATCTAGTTTAAAGTGTCCTCATTCTCTTCGGCCTTTGTAAAAGTTATGTTGATCGTCGAAGGCGTCGTTTTGATCTGAAAATCTCGGTCTTTGGAGCACTTTGGTTTTGGTCTCTTCTCCATCCGAGCTCTAACTTCGAGGTAAGGATATCCTACTCTTCTTTATGAGCTTTGTCTTTAAATTTTAGTATTTTGAGATGTTGGGGTTGGTTTGTAATTTTGTGAAAGTTTGGGGGCTTTTGTGTAAATTTACAAGAGTTGGGGGTTTTAGCTATATAAAACCTAGATACATGTTTGGCATGGAAAATGTGAAATTAATGTTAAGACATTAATGAAAATGGAACCTAAGGGTTGAATGTAAATTATGGAAAATGCCCTAATTAATTGGCTAATTAATTTGCATAATTAATTATGAGAAATGAGGAATTGATTTGGGAAGTTATGAGATAAAAGGTGTAGTTAGATTATTTATCACTCACCTAGTTGGAATGTTGATTATATATCCATTGTTGCATTTATTTTCTGTATAGAAATAACTGTTTTGGGCTATCAGTGGAGGATAGTCTTGATTGTTGTAGACAATGCATGATGATTAGGCAAACTGAAACTAATCACTGGAATGTGTCATTGAGATTGACGATTGAAAGAATACATTAAATTTTTGTATTGTGTGATAATGTGTATAATTGTCGTTTATATGCATTGTGTTGTGTTGGAGGAGATAGGGGATGTACTCCACGGTTTAGGGGAAGATAGGGGATGGACCTCTAAACCGGATGTGTTGGGAGGAGATAGGGGATGGACTCCATAGATAGAGCTCATATGCTTATCTATTAATGTGTTGACAGAGCTCATATGCTTGTCATTGGAAGTGTGATAGTGCTCATATGCATATCTGTGGAAGTGATGATATAGCTTGTATGCTTATCGGTTGTTGTGTGATATAGCTATTATGCTTATTTATTATGAAATGGGAAGTGTTTGATATGAGTTACTGTCTCATATGTGTTGTTTGGCCAGGTTCTGAGCCATGGTTGTAAATTGAAGAATTGAAAGGAATTAGAAAATGGACTGTAATATGGACTTGTATGTCATGAAACCGTAAAGTGTGATAAGGGAAAGTATCAGTGTTGGCCATATATCAACTGCGAAATTTTTAGTCATTGTTCATATTTGGTTTAGTATATTTCTACTGGTCTGTGGCTCACCCTATATGGGAATATCATTTTTTTTCAGGTACAGGTAGCATGCCACCTCCAAGGGCGTAGCTTGGGAGGCTAGAGGCGGACATACTCTGTCATTTTCTTTTTTGATGTATTACATGTAAATTCAAGCCAAGGGCTTAATGTGTATGAGTTAGTACTCTTTTGTTGTAACCAAGTGTTAACTTGGAAAGCTGTAAGCCCGTAGGGCATTTGCTTTTGTCGTTAACATGTAATACTTTTTGTAATGGAAATCTGATGAATAGAAGAATGTGGAGTTTTTATATATCAATGCATGTATATATTGATGGGTTTAATGTCATTATTTTGAGGGCGTTACAACTTGGTATCAGAGCGTACCGGGTTCGAATACTTTGGGTACGTGGGAAGTGATTAGGATCACAATGGGTTTGTCTCGTTTGATAGAGACCTAGATGTAGTGTCATATGCTTTGTGCTTAATTGATAACATGTTTATGTGACTATGTGGGTATGGAATGTAGTTTCTAGGATGTTGATTGGATCCTTGGGTTTCTGGGAGTCTTGTTGGAAAAGCACTTGATCAATGCTGTTTCTAACTGGAACTCTAGTAACGCCTCGGGACTATCATTATCCGGAGATGAAATTCGTAAGTGCTTATGTGTTTATGTGCTTACGTGGAGTGAATTACAGTTGTCCATGCATTAGGACGTAAGTGTTTAGTTTTGGCACATTTGTGAATGTGCTAACGTTCTGTATTACCTTTATTAGGATGTCAGGGTGAGGAAGAGGTGCTATGCGTGGTAGGCCTGCGAGGCAGGAAGTACCTTTACCGGATGATATTCCGGCAGTGCATGAGGGTGTTAGTCAGGCCAACGTGGCCGAGCCAGCGGCCCAGCAGGCTATGAGTGCCTTGGCACGAGAGATAGCAGGGGCTTTGGGTATTCTCAGAGCAAGGAATCAGGTAGCTGAGGCAGGACCTTCTTTCTTGAAGAGGGAGTTCTTCCGGTCTAATCCGGATGAGTTTGTTGGGGATCCAAATGAGCCACTAAAGGCTGACGAGTGGTTGGAACAAATGAGTAAGACGTTCGAGATGCTTGGCAGGGCACTAAAAGTGACCTTGGCATCCTTCCAGCTGAAGGGAAATGTGGGTCAATGGTGGAAGTACGAAAAGGCTCGTGTTGGTGGTACATGGGAGGCGTTTGTAAATGCTTTCCAGGAGAGGTTCTTATCTGCAGTGGCTAGCGAGAAGCTGAGGGATCAGTTTAGCCGGCTTAATCAGCAGGGTATGTTTGTGGCAGAGTTTGAGGCCACTTTCACTAGTTTGTCCAGGTTTGCAACCTGAGTTGGTGGCGTTGAAGAACGTCGTTGCTATAAGTTTGAGTGGAAGTTGAGGCGGGGCCTCAAGTTGAGGGTTGGTAGGTTTTACATCCGAGAGTATAGACATTTAGTGGATGCTGCAGCTCATATGGAGCTTATGATGCAGGAGGAGGATGAGGGGCAGAGAGGCTCCAAGAGGAGCCAAGATGGTCAGGGTGATGGCAGGAGACAGAGGGGTTCTAACCCTCAGCAGTCTCAGGGTGGTGTGGCTAGATCGACCTTTCCAGTGCCGAGTGCAGGCTCGCAGAGAGGTAATCAGGGAGGCCTGACTTGTTTTGCGTGTGGCCAGCTGGGTCACAAGTCTTCGGTTT